CTTTTTTTGTTGTTTTTATAATGTCACTAAACAACCATATTTCATGCTTGTCACTCACGGATTTCATGTGTCTCTCACAAGATCTCTTTCGAACTGTGAAAATGTTAATTTATACGTATGTCCTTGAATACATGTAATGACCACCTATTTGGAAACATCTATAAACTTGATGATTTGATGACGTTCATTTGGCCTACCCTCATATTTAACAGAACGGAGGTTAACAAACCCTCAGTTTGCTCTCTATACTTAAGAGCCTGTTTCATGGTTTGCCTCTCTCTTTACCAACCCCCCATTGTTCATCTATTGAGTGTCTTAAATTCCACAGATGAGTGACATCATATGATATGTGTCCTTCTCTGGCTGACTGACTTCACTTAGCATAACACACTCTCGCTCCATCCGCGTCATTGCTAGAACGGATACACGAATTCAGTAAAGTCCCAGGACACAAAATCAACGTACAGAAATCTCTCGCATTCCCACACATTAATAATGAAGCAGCAGAAAGAGAAATCGAGGAGCTGAAACCATGTACAATTGCACCTAAAACCGTAAGATACTTAGGAATGAACCCAACCAAAGACGTAAAAGATCTGCACTCTGAAAACTAGAGAAGCCTTACGAAAGACACTGAAGAGGGCAGAAAGAAATGGAAAAACTTCCCGTGCCCATGGATTAGAAGAACAGATATCGTTAAAATGTTGATGCTAACCAAAGCAATCCACACACTGACTGCAATCCCTATCAAAATACCACCAACCTTTTCCACAGAGCTACAACAAGCAATCCTCAACTTTGTATGGAACCAGAAAAGACCCCAAAGAGCCAAAGGAATCTTGGATGGCCTCGAAAGCCAACCTTGTACCCCATATCAAAGCGACTGACAGTACTTTTGCTGCAATACGTCTCAGTGTTTATTGCTCTAGAGTGCCTTTCCTAAGGCAGCAACATGCCATTCTAATCTTATTTGAACTTGTCATTCTCACTATCCTGTTTTTCATGAAATTATACTTTTTAGTGTTTGTTCTGTTGAATCGCTTTGGGTTTCTCCTCAAGACATTCTTATTGTGATGTGCATGCTCAATATTTGTTACCTATTTCCTGTCATTTGTCATTCTCTTTTCGGCTCGGTCATCTCTCTCTTTTTCAATTCTAACAGTTCTTTATTGGGGTCGAATTGACCTAGAGCAAAATGCACAAACCGCAAGCACACAGCTCAATGAATTTAACGTACGTATGCATCCTGTCACCACCCAGATCGAGATATAGAACACTTTCCTCCGTGGCGCAAAGTTCTCTTCTGCTCCTTGCCAGTCAACACCCATTTCCAAACACAAACGCATTCTGAATTCTCACCCTAGACGACTTTTCCTTGTTCTTACACTTCATATAACTGCAATGATGTCGTATGTTCTCCTATGTTCTGGGTTCTCTCACTTGGTGTCTGGTTTTGAGATTTCGTCCTGATTAGCTGCGTGTCAGCCATTGGTTCTGATGCTGCCGAGAAATACTCTGCTTGGGGATTATAGCACAATTTGACTATCCGTGTTCCTGTTGGACAGATCTAGTTTTGGTTATCACACATAGAGTAAGGACGAATAATCATGTGCAAATTGTGTTTTGTGGAGACACCCACTGGTTCCTCCCAGGTATACATCCTAGGAATAAAATGCTTGGGGAAAGCAGAGAAACTGACACACACTTTCGCAAAGGCTTTGTCTCCTTTTAGATTTCCGCCCAAAGATAGGCAGTCCCAGTTTCTCTACATTCCCACGTACCTGGTATTCTCGGTCCTTTTGATTTTAGCCATTCTGCTAGCTGTTAGTGCTCGGTTTAGTTTTCGAATGCTGTTGGTCATTTGGATATCTTCTTTTATGAAGCGCCTTTTGAGATCTTTTCCTCATCAATAAGCTCGGTTCTCTGTAATTTTCTTTGTGATGTGTGTAAGTTCTTTCTGTATTTTCGATAAGGTCGTTGCCATATATGAGGTATTGCAAGGAATTATTCCTGGACTGTGGATTGTGTTTTCACTGTGTATTTTATGATTACTTTTTAAATTTTACGTATTTTGGGAGGGGGAGGGGCAGACAGAGAAGGAGAGGGTGTGTAGTGATTTATGATCAACGAAGGATTTAATACTTTATGAAATCCAGGTTTTGATACTTTTTTTCTAAGTTCTTTATGTTGATAGAAAAAGTGAGTAGGGGAGGGGCAGAGAGAGAGGGGGAGGGAGAGAGATTCCCAGGCAGGCTCCACACTGTCAGTATGGAGCCCAATCCCCCCGGGGCTCAAACCCGTGAAGCGTGAGATCGTGACCTGAGCCAGAATCCAGTGCCGGACGCGGACCTGACCAAGCCATCCAGGCACCCTTCCACGTACATTTTAGAATTCGTTGGTAACTTCCCCCCAAAATGCCTACTCCAATAGGAATCAGGGTAATACTGATTTGGTATTCCAACAATATTGAATCTTCTCATCTATGAAGGTGCTGTACACACGTTTATATGTATCTAGATCTCCTTTAATTTCTCTCAGCAATAGTTGTCTGGAGTCTTCCTTATATGTGTTCTTACGCATTTAATGATTGTGTGGATGTGAATCTCTATTGCGTTCATTGAGTTTAATTTTATTTTGTTTCTAAATTTCATTTTCTAAATGCTCACGGTTGGTATGGGGAAATACACTAGATTATCACACGAATGCTACCGAGGGATACTTTGGGTACCTTAGACGGCATTTTTAAAGTGTACCATGCGGGGTATGGGTGGCCCAGTTAGTTAGGCATCTGACTCTCTGGACTTTGGCTCAGGCCATGATCTCACGGCTAGCGATTCAAGCCCACACATCGGGTGCTGTGACGACAGGGTGGAACCTGCTTGGGATTGTCTTGCTCTCCCTCTCCCTCTACCCCTTCCCTGCTCAATCTCAGAATAAATAAATACACATTAAAAAAGTAAATAAGGCGTACAATTCAATGCACAGCAAAATCAAACTCCAGCTACCATCAAGACACGGCATTTCTTCCAGCTCACAACTTCCCTTGTGGCCCTTTGCAGTCCATCACTGTCTCCGCCTCAGCCCCAGGCAACCACTGACCCTACAGGTGGGTTTGCATTTGTTAACAACTCTAGGTAGGTGGAATGCTTTGGTGCCTACATTCCTTGGTGCAGCATAAGGATTCTGAAATCCGTCCATATTACTGTGTGTATTGCCAGTTCGTGCTTTTTTATCGCTAAGTAGTATTCCTCCGAATGGCTACATCCTGTCGATTTATACAGTCACCTACTAGTGACCTCTGTGTGGTCTCCAGGGTTTAGCCACTGTGAAGAAAGCGATGGGGACTTTTCATGTACAGATCGGTGTGTGGACATATTGTGTAAATACTTAGAAGTGAAATGGCTGTTCATGTGAGTGGTCAGTGTTTAACTATGGTTCAGCCTCTCTACAGGACTGGACCAGTTTTCATTCCCACAAGTGTTGGAAACTTCTAGTGACTTCACATCCTCACCACATACATTTCCGGCCTTCTTCATTTTAGCCCATGGCGATGGACGTGTAATGCTAACTCACGGCATCATTAACTTGTGTTCCTCCTGATGACTGAGTGTGTTCTGGAAAACTGACCTCCGTGCTTTGGAGCCAAAATATACCACAAAGACAGAGTCTGAGATAAGGAGGAACACTAACAGCTTTCTTGCTTTCCCAGGCAGAGGACGACAGCAGGCTAAGGCCTTCAAAAACTGCCAGCTCCTGCCCCCTGGAGGAAGGGGTTGGGGGTCTTATCGGGAAAATCAAGGTGTGGCCAGTGGTGACAGCAACTGTGTACATGCTGCTACCCTCCTTCCTCATGTCCTGGGGTGTACCTGCTTCCTGATACAGAAGGCTAAGAAGGGAGGAGGGGAGCTTTGCAGAAGACAAGAAAAGGTTAGTTTAAAATCGAACCCTGCGAAAACTTCAGTGAAGCCATTTTGGTTTTTCTTCAACTTTATGCCTTTCAGTGGTTTCAAGCGGAGCATCTTTTCAAGTGCTTTGTGGCCATGTGTATATCGTGTTTTGTGAGGTATTTCTTCTTCGAGACTTTTGACCAGGAGCGCCTGGGTGGCTCAGCTGGTTAAGGGTCCGACTGATGATTTTGGTTCTGGTCATGCTCCCACAGTTCCTGAGATCGAGCCCCGCTTCAGGGTTTGTGCTCACTGTGTGGAGCCTGCTTGGGATTCTGTCTCCCTCTCTCTCTGACCCTTGCCTGCTTGCTCTCTATAGCCCTCTCAGAATAGATAAAAATAAACTTAAAAGACTCTTGACCAAATCTCTTCTTGCACTGTCTTATCACACAAAATACGTGTCAGAACAGTACACTGAACACTACACAGCATTACCTTGAGAAATTAATGAACTAAACACATGGAGAGGTAAAATTTGCTGTGGATTGGAGACCTCAATATGGTTTACATGTCAATTCTTCCCAAATTGATCTACAGATCTGATACAAGGCCAATCAAAATTCCAGCAGACATGCTAGGAAACATTTCTAAGCTGATCCAACACTTCATATGGAAATGGAAAGGATCTTGAATTATCAAAGTGATTTTAAAAAGAAGAAGAATGGTGGATGACTCAAGTGCCTATTCCAGAATGGCCATACACATCTTTTACGCAATTTCGGAGTGATGTATCCTATTATTATTCAGTTGTAAGAGTTTCTGTACTTTCTCACTGAAGCTTGGAAGTTGCTCTACTCCCTTTGTACGTGAATTCCTTGTTCTAAAATTTGGCCAATATTTATATTGGTTTTTATGTGGCGAGAGAATACGGAAGACCAGAAAGCATTTAACTTACCAGAGAGGAAGACAGATCATCACTGGGCATTATGGAGAGGATGACCCTATGAGATTTAGTGAAGTTGCCTCTGTTTCTCCAGCTGGCCAAGACATAGTGGGTAGTAGCTACAGATGCCAGCCGTTTCCTCTGGACACCTTGGCAGTGTTGACTGGTTGGAGCCACCGTGGATCCCGGGTGTCAGTTGTGTCCTAAAAGGCTGAAATCTGGCTGAGGCTCCAGGGCTGTTGGGCCAAGGCAGGTCACCCAGCTGTTGGAAAACACACAGGCAGACCAGGACAATCACCGAGGTCATCGCCAGGCAGCTTTGGCCATTTCCTCCAAGGAACCCACCACCACTACACTTTTTTCTCATGACTTCCTGTTTCCAGACTGAGATCCCCAGGACAGTTGGGAGAATGTGTTATTCACCACTGTATTCGGGGTTCCTAGCACCGAGCCAAGCACTGAGGAGGCCCTCAGGGACTTCCTTTCACTGATCAAATACAAGTTGCTGCCAATCTCTGACCATCTCAACTCCATTCCAGTCACAAATGTGCTTTCTCCCAAAAGGTAGCGAATCCCCTCCCTCAGAGAGGAACCTGCCCTACCCTCTCCATGTCCCAGGACACTGCCCTGTGGTGAGCTCTGATGAAGACGGGGTTCTCCTCGGGGATTCCTCTCAATGGCTCACTCTGTCATTGGGAAGAGATGTCCTGGGCCTGGCCCCCCACTCCAATCCTCTGCTCTGTCACAACACAACACCCCAGTGCAGGAGAGCTACCACATTGTGTTTGCATCGTTCTCCCACTGCTTTGTCCTCCTCGGGAAACCGTATTGATTTCCAAGTTCTGAACACAGCCTCAGGAAAATGAAGCACTCAACCAATAGTCAAGAAAATCACTGGTCAACAGATATTATGTGTAAAGCCTTCCACATTCCTGACCAGAAATTCAGAAGAATATTATTCCTATTATGACTTCAGATGCAAGGGTCCCCTCTCCTGGCCCCTCCTGGCCTTAGGGCAAAACGATTTGTGGTAAGAATGGACATCTCCAAATCTGATCCAAACGCCACTGATCCCTCCAAACCTACACTTCCTTGGAGGCCATCCACTGTCAGGGCAGCTCCAACGTCGAAGCTCGGGGACTGGGGCAGAGCCTCATGGTCACACCATCCTACCCTTAGCAACGGTGCTTCCCGGCAGTGCAAACCAACCCCCGTCCGTCCTGTGGGGCTCCCTGGCAGGTGCACCGTTCACTGTGGAGTGCGTTACACCCCCAGTCCTCACTGCTCACCTCAGGCTGCTCCTTGCAGAGTTGGATGCTACTGTACGCATTCCTCAGTTTCTCCAGATTGTTCTGAGCTCAACTTGCCCGTATTCTCAGGTCCTTGGGCAACCACCATTCCACCATTACCTTTGTCCTTCTCCGGGTTATTCTCATGCTCCACACCTGCTGATTCTTCTGTCTTCCTCGGTCCTCTGTTTCCAGTGTGGGCTCAGCCGGGCTCCTGCAGGAGACACACAGACAAGGGACCAAGTCAGGTCTCAGCCGCAGTCCCCAGAACACGTTTAACAGGCACCTCAGTCCCTCGTGCTCTCAGAGAGACTGAGCGGCAAGGGACTTTGGAGAAGTTGAATAACAACCTTATGTTACAGATCAGGAAACTGAGGCCCAGAGAGATGAGGAGATTTCCCCAAACTCCCTCATCGCTTGATGGCAGCAGACACACCAACAGGTGTCTTGGCCGCAAGCTTCCCTTGGACTCTCCTATCACACCCTCCAGGAACCCACATCTGAATTTCAGAGGACACTGATCAAACATCAGTACCCCCCCTGCCCCCCTGTTAAAACAAAAATGTCGCCAGGAACTTTCCTGGGACACTTGCTTGTCACACGTCTACATTCCTGTTGTTTATATTCATTTGATTTTCAAGCCTACCTCACACAATGAGCCGAAGGTACTCAACAATTAAGTAAAATTCATCACAGCAGAAATTAAAATGTATTGATGTGGTTATGTATAAGACACTGATCTCCTGGGCTGGGAAATCATCTTCCTAACAGCGGGCACTCTGTCTGCCTTGTTCATCCCGTCTCCACAGCGCCTCCATTAAGAGCCTGCCAGGGAAAACGTTCAGTAAATACTTGTCAAGCAGATAAATAACAGTTATCAGGAACAACTGCCTTTTACTGATCTCTAGTCCCAACCACAGTTCCAAACAAACCCTATCCCAGATCTGTGACAAAGCAATAAAAGCACAACATTAAAGAAGCGTTCCAGGATTCCAAAACCAGCTTTACCACACGTCACATCACTTTGATGGATGATTTTATTATCTTTTAGAGCACCTTTTCCTCATATAAAATAGAGAACATATACTGTAAATAGAAGGCAGCATCAACCACTCGGGTGTTGGATGTGAAATGTGACATCGTGCAGCAGACAGGGCTCCAGTCCCTGGGCACCAGCTGTGGGGCTGAAGGTCACCTACATCAGAGTCACTGTGGTGCCTGTTCAAATCCCATGGGGATAAGAAGCTGCATCTCAGACAAAAATTCCAAGGAGATTCCCAGGTAAGGAAGAAGCCCATTAGTAAACAATGAGCATAGGATGCAGACCCTGAAAGCCCCAGTGCTCACCAGACTGACTCAGCTTTGAGCAGATCAAGTCCCTCATTCAAGATGGCTTTCAATGGGAAATGGGGACATTTCTGGGAAGTGGGTCCTGCTTCCGTGATCTGGGCTTTTAGCACCTCCACTGCCCTGTAGTTTCCTCCTCTACTCCATTCACTGGGGGATGTCATCCCTCATGGAGGTCATTTCTTCATGAAGACCTCTGTCCTTTTATTCTCTTCCTGGAGTAGGAGATGGCAGAGATCAGTTCTGGGACTCCAAAGATCTAGGCTCCTCCTAAGCCATCTGGGTATGTGGAAACAATCATGACAGATGGAAATCAGATCAGGGAAGAGGACCCCAGAGGAGGGAGATGGTGAGGGTGGCCCCTCATGGGAGAGACAACCACAACAAGGTCACTGTCAGACCTGTTCAGGTGGGGGCAACATACTCATCAATTCTGTGAGCAGAGAAGCAGCCTTGTCATCCAGACTTCTGATCTGCAGGACTGGGAGATAACAAATGTTTGTTGTCAGAAACCACTGTTTTGTCATTTGGTAATATGCAGCAATGGGGAAGTTCGGATGCTTATTTGTAATCCGCTGAGCTTTGTAATGTTTTCAAACTTGTGTGCTAATCTCTATAAAGAAAAAAGCATGAAAAAACCACAGTAGCAATCTGTTCCTCACTTTCACATGACTGCTCCCAAGCCCTTGTAACATCAGGGACACTGTGAAGGGCATTTCAAGTGCTGGAGAAATGTCTCTTTAATGTTGCCAAACAAACTCTTTAATGTTGCCAAAGAAACATGGTAGAACACTTAATTCCACATAACATTATCTGTAAATCTATCAACTTTCTCCATCTTCTATGGAAGAGTTTTTTTCTAGCTTCTTGTTCTCTTGAGCTACCAGACAAGGTTTCATAGCAAGAACCACTTACCCGCACAGGCAAATCAATTCAAGGAGAGCAATGTAACAGCCACTGTATTATGTTCCCCCAAAGTCTTTTCAGTGCAACCTCTCCTCTTCTTTTGACTAGAAAGAAAGAAAAGATCTATTTTGTAAAGTCCTATTTTAATGAAAATGCAAACTTAAATGTCTCTGTTTTCCAATTTTTCTTTTGCTCAAGCTCAATCATGGAGGCCTAATTCCTCAGGTTGAGTTCACACTTGGCTCCAACCTGGGCCCTCTGTCAACAGAAGTCAGGGAATCACAATCTTACACCTCTTTGGTGAACCAGCCTCTCACCCTCAAAACCCAGAAGAATTTGTGAACCCAAAAGACAGGAGCTCTCACGAAGTAAGAGTGATATATGTGCACTGGTCTTGGCTCAGATTATCTGAGAAAAAAGAGCAGTCATAAAACAGGAACTTTTTTATTCTCTTTGCTCTTTGAAGGAGAGCAAAAAGAAAATCATTCTCTTTGCTCTTTGAAGGAGAGCAAAGAGAAAATCATGTTGATTTCTGCTTTTCTGGGATGTCAGGTAAGTGAGGCCAGTGACTGTAAACTTATTTGAGGAAATCTCTGAATAGGGGTTACTTGTTAGCAAAATAAATGGTAGGTACAAATGCTATCCAGTATCAGCAAGAGAGAGGAACAAAAAAATACTTGAAATTATAGAGAATATGAATTCATAAATCTTCTGTGCGAGGCACTAGGGCAGGAATTAGAAAAATTAGGTATGTACAAATATATTTCTAAATTTTTTTTTAATGTTTATTTATTTTTGAGAGACAGAGAGACAGAGTGTAAGCAGGGGAGGGGCAGAGACAGAGGGAGAAACAGAACCGGAAGCAGGTTCCAGGCTCCGAGCTATCAGCACAGACCCCAATGCAGGGCTCGAACCCACGAAGCACAGGATCATGACCTGGACTGATGTCAGACGCTAAAACGACTGAGCCACCCAGGTGCCCCTGTAAATGTATTTCTAAACTGAGCAATTCCATTCACAGAAATATATACTGGGAAAATATACAAGGGAGCATGAAAGATGATAGAGGTAGAGACAGAGATATAGAGATAGAGACGTCCTCCACAGCATTGTTGTAAGAGCAATCACGGGAACCAACTACATCTCCATCAACTGCAGAACAGTTATTTATGATGCTGTATCTGAACCTGAAATGGTCTGCACTTGTCCAAAAGAACTAGGCAGATGATAAAACTGCTGACAGCAGAGGACCGAGCAGAGCTAATACGTGCTGAGTATTTACTCCCCGCCAGGCACTGGGCTCAGTGCTTCACCTGCACCTCTCCTGTAACACCGGGGACGACTCGTGTAGGAGAAACCCCATTGGCCCCATTTTGAAATGAGACACTGAGCCACAGAAAGGAAAATTCAAGACACTCAGGCAAAGTCACACTGTAACTCAGCCAGGCTCGCACCTACAGCTTGTGAGCCCAGAGTGCTCTCTTTCTTGAC